TGAGACATTTTATTTGTTAAATAATATTTCTGCATGTATGTTCATTCAACTGATACTTTAATACTTAGAATTAACCATTTAATGATTTTTTAAATTTCATTCTGAGACATGATAAACTATTTGACAATGGTAATAAACAATCTAAACATTTTTCGCCATCTTCTCTCATTTGCAATATAATTTCATAGCAATCGTTTTTTGCCAGGTATTCATTGGATAGTCATAGATAATTTTGTCAATCGTTGATTATTTCAGAGATGAGTAATTTTAGGATCAAATAGTGATCTTTTTTTTAATTCATGAAAGCCTCTTGTCTTTTTATTCATAGCATTAAACTCATTCACTAGAAATTAGTAATGAAAGACAGTAGAATTTCAAAAACAATCATCAATCGTCACTTCTTCAAGTAGTTCAGTAATAACTAATTAATTAATTGAAAAATAAAAAATCAATAAATTTTGAGTCTAGGAAAAACTGTTGAGGCTTTTTTTAACGATCAAAATTTTGTGAAAAAGCAAGGTCTCCAAACATTTTTTCACAGACTTCATGATTCACTAAATAATTAAATTCTTAGTAATCATCACCAATAAGGAAAAAGAGAATAGTGGATTAATCATTAGTTAACACTCGTGTTAAAAAAAAAATCAACATTTAAAAAAAATCACTTTAAAATTTTTGAATTTCGAACACGATTTGTTGACATTTTGTCTTACAATTACTCATTCCAGAGACTGAACAATTTATAAAGAATGAAAATCCGGTCTACTTGATTGTTGTTTCGCTTTTCGATATCGTAATCAATGATTTTTTCAACTTCGTTCTGTCACATAATAAACTATTTGACAATGAGCAAATCAGCTGTCAAATGATATTTCCTCTCTCCAAGTTAAGCGTTTTTATTAAGTAACGAATCGTTAGAAATAAATGAAAAATCTTTAGTTTTATCCACATGCTTCATTAACATAGTTATTCTCATAGTCATATTCAGGATACAGTCTAAAAAAAGGTTTTTTTATAAAAAATTTGGAATGGGTGGCTTGATTAATTTAAGTTGGGGAGGTTATAAAAATAACAATCACGGTTTAGGAGTTATCGGCAAAGGATAGTCTAGAAACTTGTTCGAGCGACGGGAAGTAAAGTTGGGGACTTTCCGTGATTCTAATACAGACACGGTTAGCTTGCCCTCGAGACCCATTACTCCAATACAATCACGGATTGACTTCCCGTGAGCCCTGTATGGTGCATTTAGTCACTCCGTTTCATTTTTGGGGAAAAAAATGGCTTTATTTTGTTGCACCGGGTAATTTTCAGAACTTTCTTCAGCATATAAATGAATAAGATAATAATTAATTTGGAGAGGATTTCAATTATTTTCAGAAGTTTTCATACAATTTTCATGGCTCTACTGGAATATTTCTCTCCAACTTGATTCGCAGATTCACTTGTCCATACACGGTAATTAAATATAGAGTAGCTGAACGTTGCTGTACAGTTTTTTTCTTACACCACTTAATGCAGCAACAATGACATGTGACAACGCCAATGTCAGTTGTCACTTGTTTTACCGACTCAACAAAAAATTAAGAAATATCACAAAACTTTTTTCGGTTGCTGAGAAACCCGGCTTGCTTACTGCCGCAGTAGTAAGGGTAGAAGAAAACAGCTAGTAACTTTCTCACAGTTCGTATTGCCCATCGCCTGCAATATGTATACAAGGCAGGCCCAGAAAACATTTTTTCCGAATTTCAATTTGCAAGTTTACGGAAACGAAAGGAAACGGAAACGTGCATAATGACGAACTGCCAGTGGGTCAGATATTTTTGTATATTTTCAAATCGTTTGCAGAAGCACTAGAAATGTTGCTAAAAATCGGAAAAAAATCACACAGTCATTTGACCTAATGAGCTCTCGTTTCTATAAACTTGCCAATTGAAATTCGGACCAAATTTTTTTGAGCCTGCCTAATGTATACTGATAGGTACATGAGAAGTTGAAATATTCATTTTGCCGTTGATTAAATTGTTGAAATTTCTCTGCAGTTTGATTGGGAATTCAATAATAATAATCGTATAATATACATTTGAGTACTCACTAGAAAACGAATCAATCTCTTGATTTAATATGAGATGAGTTTCAAGCAGTTGTTGATAAAACCAACAAGTAGTTGTGGTTTACGTATCCTTGTATTTCAAGGTAAAATATTTACTGATCCAAGATTAAAATTACTCCACTTGTTTTGTTGTAAAAATATTCTTTAGTTCACAATGAAAGGTTATAAGTTTTTTCTATAAGAAGACATAAATAATCGATGTAGGTTGAGTCAACCAAAGAGTATAGACTAAAGTAGCGACCATATTGACGAAAAACAGCGCCCTCAACGGTATTTAGCGAGTCCAATTAGGGGGGGTTCGTTTATACCAGAGCTGCCAGCAAAGAGGATAGACCTGAGTAGCGGCCCGGATCGGGGCAGAGATAATAGGGGAGATTGCTCAGGCTTATGAGAACTGTTCGATCAGAGTTGCATAGCGGTGGCGCGCATGAACTAATCGAGAGGCCGTCTCTGTGGGTAAAGAAATTTTCATCTATTACCATGGAAACAGTCGATAACAGGGATGCGTTCCCAATCTTAAATCCAACATGAAACCTCCTTTGCATTCAGTCATCCGCTTGATTATCCCATTTTCGTTCATACAACTTCTTATTGTCTTAATTTGTAAATTAGTTGATCATAAAGGAGAGGGAGAGAAGGAATTATGAAGTCTTGAGCGAAAGAGGATCATTTATTTGAATTTCTATACAACTAGATCTTTAATAAAAAAAAAAATACGAGCAATTCATCTTATTCACATTTATTACATATTTTGTCAGTGATACAAAGGTAATGAATGAATTTCAAATTATTTTGATGAGAAATATATTCAATATTTGTGAGAGATTATATCTCAACAAATCTCATACACATAATGGGATTAAATCAATAATAACAGATGAACGAATGAGACTTTTCGCAGATTATTGCGAGATTTAAATGAATGGTTTGCATTCTTCAGTGACCATAAAAAATTGTCTCCAATCGACAATATCTCCCGATGGAATGGAACGATGTGAATGATTCAATTGATACTTAAGCATCAATTTAAATCTTTAAAAAATTAATCGAGAGTGAAAAAAAATCAGGGAATTTAACTCTGCCATTATGGAGTTTTTGACGAGTGAAGTTTATTCACTCCCTAGGGAGCAAATAGCCACCTAACAGCCACCTAATTAGGTGGCTGTTAGGTGGCTACTTCTTTTGGTGTAAAAAAGGGTAAATGATACCTGGAACGATTATGGATGTAAATCTATGAATTATTAATGAATTTTAGTAGCTTTAATCAGAGATTATAGGGGAGATGAACAGGGCCAATGTAAAGTGTTCAACAACAAAAATCGTAGCGTTGGCGCATGGACTACGATGGAGCGTACGGAACTGTTGGTATGATAGGGCCCGAGCATAAATTTGTCGATAACCGGAAAGGGGTTCTCAATACGGTAGCTCCTCGCATTTTGTAATAATTGTCAGGAATGTAAAATCGAACATATTATAATCAATAGTATAATGAATGCACAATCTAATGATCTAAAAGTCTTTTCCTTTTTCTCGACATATTTATCATTGACACGTAGGTCAAAAAATTCATAGAAAATCCCAGCGCTGTCGCTGGAAAACTATAGAGTTTTCCAGTGATTCTATTGAATAATTGCGCAGATTTTGTTTTTTTTTTTACTATAGTAATGTTCGATTATATATATTTATTCCCCCCCTGAGTGAGAAAGGAATATGTATCGCGCTCGCTCCCACTCATTGTCGTCTCCGTCGCGCTGTCACGTGCCCGTCCTCCACCAACATTAACGAGTGCGAGTGAGAAAAAAAATGGAGAAGAAGGAGAGAGAAAACATTCCAACTCGTTTGAAACGGTTGGAACGTTTTCGTTGTTCTCCAGCGATCTACACATAATGGGATTAATTCAATAATAGATTAATGAATAAGATTTTTCGCAGATTATTGCGAGATTTAGATGAATGGTTTGCCTCCTTCAGTGACCATCAAAAATTGTCTCCAATCGACAATATCTTCCGATGAAATGAAACGATGTGAATGAATCAAGTATCAATTTGAATCTTTAAAAAATTAATCCAGAGTGAAAAAAAAATCCCGGCATTCCACTCTGAGATTTCTCTCAGAGAAATTGTC